GCCAAGTATCTCCAGCTTGGCAAGCAAGATATTATGGTCCACCGTGTCAAATGCAGCTTTTAGATCCATTTACGCAGCATCGACTTGCCATCCTGGATCCATGTATAGCAAAAGTTAGAAGTAAACTGCACCAGGTTTGTGGACACGGAGCGCTTCGGGTAAAAGCCGTGTTGTTCTGTATCGATATAATTTTTGCAACACGCGAACAAAGCATCATTTAAGATAATCTCGAACAGTTTTGAGCAGGCACACAGGGAGGTGATTCCACGATAATTTGCAACATTCCGTTTATCTCCTTTTTTGTTGACTGGGAACAGATAAGAAAGTTTCCAGTGGCAGGGGAACTCACATTGCTGTGCCGAAAGATTCAATATCCTCGCAAGTGGAAGGCAGAGATTGGCTACACAACGTTTTAGAACTGATGACGGAATGCCGTCAGGCCCGGCAGCGAACGAGAGCTTAAGTTTGCGTGTTGCGGATATCACCATGACTTCTGAAATGGACAGAATATACAAACTAAACACATCACGTGGCATCCCAACAGTAGCATCCAGCACTTGTGCCGGCGGAGCGGAGAAATCATGGAACACTTGCCTGAAATGACGAGCAAACAAGTCGCTTTTTTCTCTTTCTCTATTAGCCGAGGCATTCCCGTGAAACATGGAACAAGGCAACCCGGATTCCTTTGTCTACTACAGTTTGGAGTTGACAAACGACCAAAAACTTTTCGGATTCATGCGAAGGTTCGCTTCAGTGCGTCTCACGTGTCGATTATAGAGAAAACGATTTTAATTTCGATAACTATGACTCGCAAAATTGAACATCCGTTTGTAGTACGGCGAGCGAGAGTTACAATACTTTCGGAGGGTAGCAGAGCGTTGACGTTTTAGCACACGTTGGCGTGGGTTAGACCATGGAGGCTTTTGCGGGGGTCGTCGTGCTGGGACAATGCGGAAAATAGCATCTTCCAGCGCAGCACTGAAAAAATCCACAGCATCATTCACGTATAAATCACGTATAAATTGCCAATCAATTTCCACAAGCACATTGATCAATGCAACATAATTAGCTTGGCAAAAGTCCAAAGAGTAGCACTCAGATGAATCGGCATCTAGATCAATCAGTGGCTCGACCGGCAAGGAAACAGAAGTGCCCGGTAGTGCGGAATCATTTGCCAGGACAAGACCTAGCAAACGTCCATTTCAGTTCGGAAAAGTATTCGCTTGTGTGAACCCGTAAAAGTTAAAACCGTCCAAAAGAGCGCAGCAAGCAACCGGCATATGCGAACACAGTGGATCAATTAATGGTGTGCCACTGTCTGTAAAGCGCCACTGCCAACCAGCTTGATTGTAGTCGCCAAATACGAAAGCGCGAGAGCAGGTACTTAATTGAGAAGAAATCGAGCCTAACGATTTAACATGCTCATGGATGATCGGGCAGTCGTTTTTGCGGTCGGGGGGCAGGTAGACTGCGCCTACACTAATAGGGAATTCGTTTATTATCGGGGTTAACACCAGTTCCAACCCAGTGCGAAACCGAACTTTTTGTCAGTGTGAACCTCAACCTGAGCTAGGTTTTAAAAACAAACGAGCAAACTGACGTTTGTCAGAAAACAAGCAGACCCAATCTTGATACCCGATCCAGGTTGGAACTGAATAATAAACTAATTCGCTATAAGTTTGCTTTGTGGAAGTTCTACGACAATCAACAGCTGTTCCAGTTGACTGGAAACGGGTGACGTATTTACGTAGCTGGCTAGTCTCGTTGATACTGCAATCAGGACTCCGCCACTGTGCGATTGTTGACTGTTTAGGGGAGACCGATCAGTTCTGAAGACGGAATAGAGTGACTCGAAAAGTTGCGATGAGTAAATTTGGTCGTCCAGCCACGTTTCCGTCAGCATAATCAAATCATATTCGGCCTCTCCAACAGCCAGATTTATCCATGACGCAAGAGATTATCGAAATCCCAGAGCATCATCATTCCATGATTGCTCCGTCAATTTTCGCTGCAAAGTTTGACCAAGTTGATTCCACAAGATCATTCGACATAGATGGATCACTAATAGAGGCGTTCGCTGGTTTTGGTATTTTTAACGAGTTTCATAGCGCCTCTCGAGAGATCACTCTTTGCTCGACTGTTGAGCTGTTCAGTCCGTATTTTCGCTAGAGTTCTCGTTTCGGTTTTGTTTCGTTTTGTGCTGTCGCGTTGCGCCGTGGAAGTCTCACCACCTTCTCGCGTTCTGGCAAGTTTACTTGAACTTGCAAACACGAAACAAATGGTACGTAAACGTGCCAATGAGACAGCAGCGGACCCTTCATTGCTAGAGGAGAGCGGGTTCCCCTGCTTTTCACGCCGGTGAAGGATGTTGCCAAGCTGGGTGCCGAACTGGCAAAACACAAGTTGCTGCCTCGCTTCAGGCTTTGCAGCATTGGTACCAAAATCATGTGCTCCAGCCTGGAGGAGTACGAACAAATAGGATGTTTCCTGAAGGACAACAACGTGGAATTCTTCACACATGATCTGCCATCGAGCAGGCCACTGAAGTGGCTTGGGCTCAAGCCTGAGGCGGTGTACCCGATGAACCGGCGATCCAACCACAACAACAGCAACAACAGTTGTTCCTGGTGCACGTCACGAAGGGAACCACCAGTCTTGCGGCTCTGAGATCCAAAATTCGGAACCTGTTTCAGGTCATCATCAGTTCGGAGCATTACATCGTGATATTACGCAGTGTATGAACTGCCTCTTCTACGGCCATGTCACTAAAAACTGCCATATGAAGACAAACTGCGGCACGTCTTTGAGAGGAGGATGCCTGTGAGATGGCGGCGAGGAAGACGGTGAAGGCCATCATCATGCTGATCATCTCTGGTCCAAGTAGTAGCAAGAGGAGACTTCTGACCAGTGTGTCGTCGTCGATAGCGAGGTACGGAGGTCCAGCCTGGGTTTCCCCGCTAGAAACGAAGTAGAACCAGAGGAAACTTAGCAGTATGTACCAGCTCATGGCCATGCGAGCCGTGAGTGTGTATGCATTATCACCGGAATGATCCCTATCGGCATCACCCTGGCGAAGGACAGCGAGTGCTACAGACAGATAGAAGCCGGAAAAGTACGGAAAGTGGAGAGAGCGGAGTCGTTGGCTAAGAGGCAACATGAATTGGACTTAGCGGAAAGCGGTAGATGGACTCATCAGTTTATATCGAATCTTTCAATCTGGGTGAAAAGGAAGCAAGGAGAAGTCAACTTCCACCTGACGCAATTCCTGTCTGGCCATGGTTACTTAAGGAAGTACCTGAATCGGGTTGGACTTGCAACGTCACCTCTCTATTCGGAGTATGTCAACGTGGACGAAATTGTCCTCGATTTGAAGCAGTACCAAGGGAGATGCCAGCCCTCAGCGCAGAGAATATCGTCGAGGAAGTGTGTCGAAAGGAGGACCCCTGGGATGCCGTCAGCAGGGCAGTCGCTCAAATACTGTTGTAGTTGCAAAGCAAGTGGAAGCGAGCTAGTAAAACCAGCTAGGCGATTATAGAGTTGCAATAAAAGTGAGGTAGCCGCCAATTTTGGATTTATCATGCAACGTACAATACTTCTTCTTTTCTTCGGGAAGACTGATAAAATATCACAGCTTCTGAATTTGAACTGCTTTCCCTACGAAAAATGTTAAGAAGCTGATCAATGACGTTTTGAACTCCAGGTTAACATGTTTTTGGATGACAATTTCTATGCAAGTATTAAGTAGATATTTTAATCATCATCACTTGACATGGGCTGGTAATTACTTTTCTCGACTGGTATTAAACCCAGACCCACTGAGGAGAGAACGCAGTCATGCTAACCACTCAACCACGGGTGCCGTCATACCATAGAGGTAACTATAAGACTAGAAGATACCGAAGAAACGTGCTCAACTTTTTGGCCCAGCTCTGGTACTTTCTTCTGTCCCAAGCTAATCGATGCACCCCTCGAAACATAAGAAAATCCACGAACCCCTCATTTTATCTGTCAAACTTTCATAGCGAATCAAAACAAACATAGTGTAGTACTAGAATTTCGACTAGAATGGGGTACGTTAATCGATTTGCTTGGGACCAATAGCAACAATCAATACGAAACTAACGATTTTAAATTGGCTCACTACTTGACTAGCCTATTGGTCCCAAACAAACGATTAACGTAACATTCTAGTCGAAATTCTAGTACTACGCAATGTTTGTTTTGATTCGCTATGAAAGCTTGACAGGTAAAATGAGGGGTTATTGGTTTTTCCTATGTTTCGAGGGGTGAATCGATTAGCTTGGGACCGAAGAGAGTACCAGAGCTGAGCCAAAAAGTTGAGCACGTTACTTCAGAACCTTCTAGCCTTAGAGTTACGTCTATGTCAATAGGCTAGTCAAGCAGTGAGCCAATTTAAAACCGTTAGTTTCCACCGGTCATACTCTGTGGTTAAATATATACCTCTGTTCAGTTCCCGATTCAGTTCACATGTAAACTAAGATGTCAACATCAATTGACAATCAGAAGAAAGATATGAAACCCAATTATACCCAAGGATCAAGTACAAAGGTTGAGCAGCGCCGGTGGTGTAGTGGTAAGCATGGTTGCCTCTCACTCAAAAGGGCCTGGGTTCAATCCCTGTCGGCGCCGTCGGGATTTTCTGAGGCATAAAATCTCTTATCACGCCTACCTTCGGGAAGTAAAGTTGTTGGTCTCCGGTCCATGAGTTTGACGGGCTACCTGGCGTTGGTAGCATTGGTACTCAGTACAGAAACAAGATCGACGGAAAAAAATCTAGAAAAAATGAGCATAGTTTGAATAGCATTGACATTTACACAGTACTCTAGTGAGCAGCAAGTGATTTCCATTAAGATAAATCCATAAGGCGTAGTATTATTAAAAGCTGATAACATTTCAGAGCTATTAAAAATCGATAACAGACATTCCTCGTGCATTCTTGCTCGTTATTGCTATATAAACTATACGGTGCTAAATGTGTTCATCAGTTTTAAACCATCATTGAGGTTGAGGTTCTTTCTTTGAAAATGTTGCTGTTTTTACTACCGTTGTTGGTAGCATCGGCTACGGCTACCAGGGATTCACGATGCGTACAGTACAATGCAGGAGCTGAAGCGATGACTTTGTCACATAGAAGCGATTGCACCAAATTCTATATTTGTGACGTAGAAGGGAACGCCCTGGAGATGAAGTGTCCTTCTAAGACTTACTTCAGCCAAATTGAAGGAGTTTGTTCATTCGACACATCAGGTTGCACCGGAGGTGAAAACAATGTCATTGAGGAACCAGAGAACAACAATGAATCGCCTGTCATAATTGACAATGGTTTCAAAAATGAGCAGGAATTCCTCCAAATGGTAAGCTTTGTAATCATCGTCATAAATTTGGTTTTGTTTAAAATTATGCTCATTTTAGGCTTGTCTGAACCAACCATCGGGAAAAACTCTCCCATTATTCAATGATTGCTTTTCGTATGTTGTCTGCCTACAACAGAAACCTATCATTCTAACGTGTCCTGAAGGGTTGATGTATGATCATAGAAACAGCAAGTGTGAATTCAAGGAAACTGCTGATTGTAAAGTTTACAACATCCCAATGCCTATAAAACCAATTGAAGTTCCAGAGCAAAACAATATCTACTCAGTACCAGAATTGTTACCACTAGAAGAACTTCATAACACTTATCCTGTTTGGAATGCACCAAATGTACCGCAGTATAAACCAATCGTAATACTTCCAGAAGCACCGTTAGTCTCGATTCCTATGGAATCTGAGAAACCATTGGAGCCGTTCATGTCCATGCCTCAAATGCCAGTTAAACCAGAATTCCCTGGTCAGCTTCCACAGAACCCTATCTTTCCTATGCCGGTATTGCCAGTAGAGCCTCCAAAGGATACTGTTATGGGACAGGAATTTATGCCTTACGGTCCAGTAACCTACTCGGATCCCCGATGCTTGCAACGATTTGACCCTGATAATCCAATTTTGCTTCCACATTCACGAGACTGTACTAAGTACTACGTCTGTGTTGGAAATAACGCCATCGAAAAGCTATGCCCCACGGGTCAGCACTGGAGTGATGAGAACGGCTGGTGTGACTTCCCGACCAGGGCCAAATGTAATCGTTTCTAAGATATGTTTGAAGCTGATCTCAAACGATTCCAAATGATTATATATTTCAAATAAAAATGATACCTTCTTATTTTCGAATAACTATGAAATATGATTAGTACAGACAGAAGACCTTTTGCTTTTTTAAATTGATGGGAAGTTATTTGTTTGGTCATTAGTACAGGGATAAAGAAAACCTCGTTCATCCACATATCGGTGACAACTGCCATTCTCGTATAACAATTTGAGATTTATGATAGTTTTATTGCCAATGATTTGGACTTGAAGAATGCTTTTGTGGCGTCATATTGCAGTGGACTATAAATACAACTGCCAAACCAAAACCGTCTTCATTCAGCGTAGCAAAGTGATGCTGATTTCCCAAGTGGAATATGACCAAGCTATGATGATCCTCAATTAATCAAGCAGGAGCTGCCTTCATGCAGTCAGCGACCAATCAATTCGAAAATTCCATTAACTCTTTTGGCCCTGAAAAGGGCCACCCATTAACTCAATAGACTGGTGCACAGGGATTCCTAAATTACAGAATAATCTGTATTTCTGCAGATTTTCCAGAGCTTTCTAAACAAATAATCTATATACACAGATCACAGATTTTTAGGTTTAGCAAAGATTTTTTTGTTAAATTATGAGTTGAAGCTTTAAATTATAGTACAATAATTTGTAAAATTACTCAACTTTTATATTTGCTTCAGTAAAAGTTTCGTATAACCCACTATTATCTATCTATTTTATTTGCCTTGGCATGGGAGTATGAAAACTGTCAGAGATGCTTTGCTATGTTAATATTAATTTCATATATTTTGTCTGTTTTACATTTATCAGAAACATAGTGCAATCCTCCAACGATCGCTTCGAGTAGTGGGCTGATGCCAGATCCGGCCAGAACACCGCGTCTTCGCCCTTATGGTATTTCTTGATGAACGACGCAACTTTCGGCCGGCATTTCGTACTATAAATTTCCCCGTTCACGGCCAGTCCGGAGCGAAAGGAGAGCGGCTTTGACATCCCCTTCTCGAGATTGTCAGGCACAGCAGCACCTTCTTGGGGAACTTGGTGTGTGAAATGAACTTCACCTCGGAGCTCACTTCCTTCGTGGGGGAAGCAAAATACAAAGTGCCCTGCCAGTCGTTGCCATCCAGGGTGAGATAGGTCTCGTCGTCCATCATCACCGCCACGTCGCGATTCGCCGGGAAAAATGAGTTGACCATCTTATTCAGCCGCTGCCGCTGCGTCATTGCCTGCAGCTCCGAAACCAGTGGACGTGATTTCCGCTTCCTTACATGTATGTTCATGTTCACCAGGTACTTTTTCACTGTTGCACCGACTTCCCGGCCAAGCGCACGCAGTGATGTAGCCACTTTTCCCTCGGTCTTCCTCTTCAACATCCTTTGGAGCTTCTTGTCGCTCAGAGTCGTCGGCCGTCCGGAACCGGGCTTTCTTTCGATGCTCTAATTGTTGTCTAATAGTGCCAAGATATTGTAGATGCCGGGACGGGCATATCCGGCGTCCACAAAGTGCCGCACGATGTCTGTTTTCGACTCAGCGGGGTGCCATTCTTTGAACGCGCACACTTCTGAACGGAGTTGCTTCACTGTTTTTGCCATCATGGTTAGAGTTCGACTCATGGGTTACTATGATTGATTGCATGGGTAGTTTCGTCAGTGCGAGTGAAGGTAAACCCATGAAAAATCGACAATTTTTGTCCATTTTTTTTAAAATACAAACGTTATTTCATTTATTTCATAAATTATTAAAACAGATATCAACATAGATTTTTTGCAAAGAAAAACGAAGATAAAAAGATTTTTTTGAGCGAAAACTCAGATGTCAATTTAACATCCCTGCTTGTGGAACGAAGGAATTTCAGCTGGAGACAAAACCATATACACACTACACTTTCACATACACACACATACAATTCCACTTTACTCCATACTCGTTATCTATTCTTTTATTTTGCATTTCAAACTGGACTACTCAAAAGTGCGGAATCGCTAACAAAAGAGCACTGTTACGTTGAATCGTCTTGCGCACATTTACTTTATGAGCCAAGTCATAAGTGCGCCGAAGACACCTATTTAACTATTTAACGTAAAAGTGCATTTTTTTTAGTGATTTCGCACTTTTAGTCTCACTTATAATGTATGCAATGCGCGAGGGGGACGACTCTATCTACGATGCAGGAAAAATCGTGTTTTGCTGTGATTAGCTGCGAGCACGCTGGTTAGATAGAAAGAAGATTGATGGCAATTCTGAAGATTTCCTGCAAAAAAATGATATGCGATGCAAGTAGATGCTAGAAATGAAAGAAGATTTTTTGAAGATTGATTCGCTAGTATGAGATTTATTGAGCATCTAGAATTGAGATTTAGATGTGTCGCCCCCTCGTCAATGCGCAATGTTGTTGATTGCATCTGAAACTTGACTGCCTCAAAAATGTAAAAAAGTGTGATAGAAGCAGTCTTGTAAGCGGTCACGGTAGTCGACACATTTTCTGTGATAATCAACTGCCTTTGCTTCCGACACTTGCAAAACAAGATATCAAATAACAGTACCAAACTAAAATGTCATATGACAGGCTCTGTCATACGACATTTTCGCCGAAAACCGTCACGAATATATATGTATTTTAGTTTTTCTCATAATAAGAGCTGCTGATGTTGGGCTTGTGAGAATTCTGAAAATAGCAAGTAATGATGTCCTAGTAATAACATTTCTGATCAGCAAAGGTTTAATTTACACCAAATTGAGGAATTAGAACGAAATCACACATGTCATATGATAGTTATTTGATAATTTTCTTTTTACTCGAATATTGTTCTACCTTTTGTGTTGTGTAAGAGAGGACGCTAGAGCACGAGAGTACGAATACAAACAGACTGTCGCGCACGACAACGAAGCGAGTGTAGTAAAAAACGTCAACAGTTTCAACCCCTGGATAGAAGTACACGTTTTTTTTTAAATTATTTTGGTGTCTGTTGGTGGAAGAACTTGTTGTGAATAAGTGCACGAGGTACGAGTTTCAGTCTAATCGTCTTGATATTTTTTCAAGACGATTAGACTGAAACTCGTACTTTTACCACAATTTAGAGTACTGCGGTGCATTTGGTGCACAAAGTAGAAACGTACTTATTTTGTCCAATTTGGTGTGAAATGGGCAACACAAGTATTTTTTTTACAGCCGTTCTCGGCTAAACTTCTTCATTCCTACTCTACTTCTGAATGTTATGCTGCTATCGCTCGTTTTTGTGGTCGTCACGCAACTGATACTCGCGCGTTATTTCTAATAAAATTATGTTTTATTTCCCATTGATAATGATTTTACCTTGATCATTTATTTCAATTGATTTAGCCTTAAGGGCTCTTCGCCTTTGTTTAATTTGTTATTCTAATTTACGTGTTTACCTTTTTCAACAACCTATCTAACTACGAATAACTTAACCTAATGAAAGATCATATATGCTCTGATGATTTGATCTCATACAGGTGTCTCAGATCCTTGCGAGGATGTGTGTACTCCGCCTCTCCAATGCCTGAAGATCAGCTAGGCGTTGGATCTAAGGGACTGTTCAGGATCATCATAAAGATCTTGCTCTGAATCCTTTAGTGTTTAAGGTGATGGCGTTTAGCACAGCTCTCCCAGATTGGCGTTCCTTCCCAAATGCGGGAAGGATGATTTGCTCGTTTTTAAGGGAAAGGGTGTATTTCCTGTCGATAGGTGGATAGAGCGACCTAATCAAGATGTTACACTTCGTGGATGTTTTGTCTACATGGGAACAGAACAGTAACTAAATATCAAGGGTGAGACCAAGGTAGACAACTTCACTCGACCATTCAACGGAAGTTTTTTTTTTATTTTTTTTTCCTTTGGTTTGTTTTTTCCGTCGATCTTGTTTTCCGTGCTGAGCACCAATGCTACCGACGTGCCAGGAAGGCAGCTCCAACACCTGGACCCTACCTATCGACCCATCAACTCATGAACCGGGTACCAACGGCTTTATTTCCCATCCAAAGGAAGGCGTGATCAGAGACGGAAGTTTTATCAAGGTGGACTTTTATGTTACGAGGCGGGACACGTCGCCCCGTCCTGGAGTGCTGAAATAGTATGGACTGTGTTTTAGCTGCATTGATACTAATCTACATCATACAAACATTCAGGCCGGATTGGAGTTTTATCGTCAGAGTGTGGATCACTCGACCCTTATACTGCCGATATTTGCATAACAGTTCTATGTGACATTTTGGTGTTTTTGAGTTTTCTTCGAAAATGAGATACATTTAGCATCTTCCTTATAATAAAAAAGTACGGTTTGTTCCTGAAAACTGTGAAGATAAAATTCGCTCTTGTAGTTCTACGTTCTCAAACTTAAATAAGCTCATTTGGTGAATGTTTTAATCCAGTTTTAATCCAGTTTTAAGTAAAAATTCGCTATCTATAATAATAGTTTAATGATTTTCATTGAAATTTCAGTCTTATCACCTAATTCTTTTTGAAAATTTGATCCGAAAACAGTACAAACCAGTGTGGGGCCTCATAGCCTAGTCAGTAAAGGCACGGTATTACCTAGCCGGAGGCGGCGGGTTCGATTCCCGGTTCGGTCGAGGGAATCTTTCGGGTTGGAAATTTTCTCGACTTCCCTGGGCATAAGAGTATCATTGTGCTTGCCACACAATATACAAATTCATGCATTGGTATTGGCATCGAAAGCTCTCAATTAATAACTGTGGAAGTGCATTTAGAACACTAAGTTGAGAGCACGCAATAAGCTAATATGCGCTAAGCAATAAGCTTGAAATGCGAATAAGAAGAAGAAGAACAAACCAGTGTTTCCAATTTGAATTATTCATTTATTTGTATTCGAAGAATTCCATACACACTTTGTTCTTTCTACCGAGCTCGGCTGGGCAAATCTCGGCAAAAATGTTTTACTGAGCTCTCCGCAAACATTTCATTTGTTTGCTGAGATTCAGCTAAGCATTATCCGAGATTCAGCAATCAAATGTCACTT